CTTTATTATATATATATATATATATATATAAAGTCACTGCTGATCCTGCTTATATACAACCAAACACCTCATGGAAGGTCCTTGGTTTTGAGGTTTAGGGTCATGATTTCATGGAACATCCCACTTAATAAGCCTAATAACATGCTTAGTGATTCTGTTCTACTTATTAGTTCCTTGTGCAGTGCCTGGTGTTTTAAAACCTTGCAAGCAGCCATCTAAGGGACAAGAGTTGGTCTCTATTCACCTGGAACTACAGAAAAAGGAGAGTCAGAAATAGCAGGACTAAATGGAATGGATGGCTAATTGCCTTCATGAACTCCTCTGCCATGAGAAGCACTGGATGATGCCCAGGTACTAATAAAAGCATTGTGATTAAAGATGCTACAGAAGAATGCTATCAGAAGGGGGGAAACGCAGAACAAAACTTCAGAGCCTCATGGAATCTAACTTTTCTAGAGACAAAGAAGTCAGATGAACCCCTGAAACTAGTGCCCCGCGATAATCTTTAAACCATAAATGAAAAATATTCCCTGAAATCTTCCTAAAACCAAATAGTACTTTAGATTAACTGGCAAAGAATGTCTGTCTGAACATTATGCTCCTTTAAGATCTATCTATAGGGGAGCAAACTGAAGGCAACAACTCAAAAGATTAGATAGGTACCTTAGAGGGTAGTGAGTATATGTTAATGGAGAGAAACAAATTAGTAAAGAAGGATGAGAATGGTTGCACAACTTGAAGAAGGTAATCAATGTCAGTGAACTGTACATGTAGAAATAGTGTGTCTTTTGCTGTGTATATTCTCAACAAATAAATAAAATAAAGAAACACTTTGCCAAAGTTAATATCTGAGGAACTCAGAACAGAAGCATTCTGGATGATAATCTGAAGGTCCTGACTATAGCTACAGAAGTAACATTTAAGATACCCTCTATAATAAATGACTCTTCTGAATTTTCTTAGTTCCCATTTGTGTTCTACTTCCAAACATTTAAAACTTTTCTATTATGTTCCAACTTATTGATAAATAGGTTAGTCTTTAATGTAGTAGTAAAGAGCATAGACTCTGGAATGGAACTGCTTGAATTCAAATCTGCTTCAGACTGAACAAGTATTTTACATGGTTTGGTTTCCTCACTCTTAAAATGCAGGTAATTCTAAACAAAAATTTAAAAGAGTGCCTGGCATTCATCCATCCGTCTATTTACACACACACACACACACACACAAATGCTACATAAGTTTGGTAGTATTATCTTATTGCTGACATTTGTTAATTTAGGCAAAGTATAGAGGGGCCCCAGTAGGGCAGTGGTTAAGTGCTTGGCTGCTAACAGAAAGGTCTGTGGTTTGAACCCACAAACCACTCTACAGAAGAAAGATACGTCAGTCTGTTTCCGTAAAGATTTATACCCTTGGAAACTCCAAGGTGCAGTTCTGCTCTGTCCTATGGGGTCGCTATCAGTCAGATCAACTTCATGGTGATGGGTTTTCTTTGGTGTAGATAACTGGCAATTAAACAGTCCCTAAATGTAGGTATTTCCTTATGCCCTTTAACTAGGGATTTTATAGTTGAAAATCTGGTAAAGTACAGAAATGTCTGAAAGTATTGGCAAAATTGGTTTAAAAAAAAAATTAAGAAAGTAGGTAGTGGGGGCAGTTTAAGGTGAGACAAGTTCATTTTTTTCTTTCATTCATAAGGTCAAACCATTTTTACAGATATAGGAACTATTGCTTTTCATTAGAAGAAACTGTACCAAAATGCTGTTACATGTTTAACTCAAACATGAACCATACTCAAGAGACAAAAACCCAATGTTGCTTTAAACAAAAAAGGCTGAAATAAAACCAACAGAAATAAAAGACAATTTTAAAGAAAGCACTGAGTTTAAGAGATCAAAATAATTCTGACACTCAATCTTAACATTTTACAATATTTAAGATTTTCTGGAGAAAGTGACTATTTGCAAAGAATGAAATTAATCTATTTAACAAATAATTTTAGAGCAATAACAATTTTTTGTGACCAAAGCAGCACATTCAACTTTGAAGTCTAGACAAAACAGTCAAATAGTAACACTAATAGTTCTATCACCTGAAAGACTCATTTTTAGAAACAAGATCCAATGTGTTTACAAATCAATTTTATATGCTATGTGAGCTCAACGTCTTTTGATAAGTTCCAAATTCTAAAAGGCTTCCTTTACCCAGCATTCTACTTTTGAATCTATAAAAACAGCAATTAAACCAGTTAATGCCCAGTTTACGTTACTGCACAGAGTAATGAACACAAATAAGTAGAGGTGAAAAGATGGAGCAAACAGATACTACTCTGCTACCAGCTACCACCATTTGCACCATGCTGGTTATCAGCCACATTAACTAGCTCAACATAAGTTGTGGGAGAGAATTGGTTACAAACTTTTGTGTGGACCCTTTGGTAATGCAAATAGGTAAGTGCTCAACTAATAGTAGAAAGGTTGGTGGTTCAAATGCAGAATTGTGTCACAGAAGACAGGCCTGGCAGTCTGCTTCCAAAAAGGTCACAGCCTTGAAAACCCTATGGAGCCCAGTTCTACTGTGCACACATAGCATCTCCATAAGATGGAACTGACTAAATGACAACTAACAACAACAACGTATTTTTGTATATACTCTTAAAATCTTTTCACCTATATATATATAACTTTTACAGTTTTGTACTATGACAGAGTTTTAATTTTTTTTCACCAAGAGTCTGAAAGAAGGTTTCTTAGGGCTTACTCTAAACTTTGCAAGCCATGGAAAGAGAACTATATCGAGACAGGTGAAGCTGAAATACTGGTTAGCCAAAAACATCCATTTACTATTCCTTTACTTGTTAATGTTTAATTTAGAAATCCATAAGTCTATGATTCACAAATATCATCTATGTACTGCTGCCAAAAAGATTAATATTTAATCTGAATTAATCACAAGGAAACAATCAGACAAATCTATACGGAGTGAGTCTTTAAAACAACTGGCCTGCCGACCACTGTCAACCACTTGGAGGGGGATCAGTGCAGGAGACCCTGGATAGAGTGGCAGAACAATGTGGAACAAAACTCAAAATCATTAAAAAGGAAAAAAAAAAAAAAAAACAGGTTTGCTGGTCTGATAGAGCCTGGTGAGACCCCTGAGACAACAGCTCCAAGTTACCCCTCAGGTCTGGAAATGAACTAATTTCTGTGGCTTCCAGCCAAACAATAGACAAGCATATGGGGTGAAGATTTACATCAAGTAGATATACTCCTTAGAGTGATTAATTGACCAATCATGGGAGAACAGAAGGGCAGTATTTGCACAAGGAGATAGCTCAGGGGACTGGAGTGCACAGGGAGGGAAGGACACAGGAAAAGAGGTAACTATGGGGAAGAAGTGGGAAAAGAGCTGTTACACTATGGGGAATTACAGTCAATGTCATGAAACAAACTGTGTAATGACTGCTGTATAGAAAATGAATTTGCTCAGTAAACACTGACCCAAATCACAGTAAAAATAAAACTGGCCTATTTCTTAAAAAAAATCTGTAAATGTTCACCCGTATCACAATAAAAATAAAACAGCTGGCTGGTTTCTTAAAAAAAATCAGTCATGAGGCATATAACCTGAACATTTCCATTAGGCAGATACACTCCTTGGAGACATCAATCATCGGAGAATAGAAGGGCTGTGTATGCACAGGGGGACAGCTCATGGGGCAGGAGTGCACGGGAGGGAAGGACGCAGAGAAGAGGTAACTACGGGGAGGAAGTGGGAGCAGAGCTGTTACAAAGTGGGAAATTGAAGTCAATGTCATGAGACATAAAGTGTTTGAGAGTTGCTGTATGGAAAGTGAATTTGCTCTTTAAACTTTCACCCAAATCACAATTTAAAAAAAAAGTCAGTCATTAAAGACCTTTCTACCTCCCAAAAAAATGGGAACTGTTTTAAAGAGACAAGTTCATATACTAAATGGTCTTTGATTTTAAAAATAAACCCCATAGAAAAGAACACTAAGACAACTGGGAAATTCCATGTATGTACAGACTTAGGAGATGCATCCTGAAGTATTTAGGTACAAAGTGTTGTATGTGATAAAGAAAAAAGTGCTCATGTGCACACATACACATGCGCAGACACCCAGGGAGAGCAAAAGTGGCAAAATGCTAACAACTAGGGAATACTATGTGAGTGTTCAGTGTATTCTTCTAACTTTTCATAATAAAATACTGGAGAAATTAAAGATGTTAAGTAACTTCTAAACTATAGACTACTCAAAGATACAGACTTTTAACAGTGTTTGTCAATGTCTCAAAACAAAACAAAACAAAAATCCCTAGTTTTTCATGTGTCTGTTGGGAAAGTCAAATTTCTTAATAAGGTACAGTTTTTCTCCCTAAGAATTACAAATTGGATTTTGCACACTAGTTATCACTGATCTGCTTTTCAAGACCATATAGTAATCATAACCCATTGATTTAAACAACAGCTAATTTCAGCCTACTCTGACCGTTTTCTTACTTGCTTTCACTGACTACAACAGCTATCTTTAGTTGAGAAGAAAAACCACATTTACTCAAAACACAAAGTAACTTTTATATCACTTACCCATTATGCTCTTATGAAATTAAATTCTACTTCACTTCAACAGGAACTTTAGTAGCCTCCTGAAAATATAACAATGCAGTGTTAAGATTAATGCTGCTACAGACATGTTTCCACCATTGTTATTTAATATATATATCCTTGGTGTTACAAGGAAGGCCTCCCTCCTTGTACTGCAAGAGTTTCCCACTCCAATCAGCAAAAGCACCACACTTCTAGAGTTCCAAAATGCTCTGCGAGCTTGATCAGCTGGGGCTTCTGAATTGGAGGAAGATTTAAAAAATGAAGCATTAAAATCCTCTGCACTAAAAGGGAAAGAGTACAGAATAAAAAGAGGGGCTTCTGGAGGCTAATCTAAGAGTTCTGGTGGCACAGTGGATAAGGAATTCAACTGCTAATCAAAATGTCAGCGGTTCAAACCTACCAGCTATTCTGCAGAAGAAAGACGCAGCAATCTGCTTCCATAAAGATTTATAGCCTTGGAAATCACATGGGGGGGGGGGGCATCTCTACGCTGTCCTAAAGGGTTGCTATGAATTGAGATCAACTTGACTGCAGGGTTTTTTTTCCCCCAAGCTGACCTAGGTGGGAAATTACACAGGTTTTCACTTTGAGATAATTCATAGCTTTGTATAACGATGTTTCTTTTCTGTATGTATATTGTAAAAAAGTTTACAGAATTCTTTGCAACCCAGGATAACATACACAAACTACCTCTATGACATTGAGTACTCTGTTGTGATAAAAGCTAGGCACACGTGAAATTAACATTCTTCAGTTTACTAGCTCCAATGCCTAACACATCACAGGCATTCAATAACTGGAAGCTCCTTACCATCTCGTTGTCTTTCACTTGGGAATCAAAGGAAAATAAAGCTCTGTTGTTGTTAGGTGCCACTGAGTCAGTTCTGATTCACATCAACCCTACGTACAACAGAAAGAAACACTGCCGGTTCTGTACCATCCTCACAATCTTTGCCATGCTTGAGCCCACTGCTGCAACCACTATGTCAATCCATCTCATTGAGGGTATTTCCCTTTTTTGCTGGCCCTCTACTTCACCAACCATGATATCTTTCTCCAGGGACTGGTCCCTCTTGACAACATGATTAAAGGACAACAGATGAAGCCTGGTCATTTTTTTTTTACAAGGAGCATTCTAGCTGTACTTCCTCCAAGACAGATTTGTTCATTTGTCTGGCAGTCCATGGTATATTCAATATTCTTTGCCAACATCATAATTCAAATCCATAAATTCTTCTGCAGTCTTCCTTATTCACTGGTCAGCTTTTACATGTATATGAGGCGAATGAAAAGACAATGGCTTGAGTACAGCACACCTTAGCCTTCAAAGTGACATCTTTGCTCTTTAACACTTTAAAGAGGTCTTTTGCAACAGATTTGCTCAATGCAATAGGTCATTTCATTTCTTGACTGCTGCTTCCATGGGCATTGATTGGCATCCATGCAAAAGGAAATCCTTGACAACTTTAATCTTTTCTTCATTTATCAAGATATTGCTTACTGGTCCAAGTTGGGAGTTTTGTTTTACGTTGAAATGTAATCCACACTGAAGGCTGTAGTCTTTGATCTTCATTTTTAGCAAAGTTGTATAAAGTGCATACAGCAGGTTGTTAGCTGAGTCTTCCTCTAATATTGATGCCACGTTCTTCATACAGTCCAGCTTTTTGGAATATTTGCACAGCATATAGATTGTGTTACTGTGGTGAAAGGATAAAGCCCAGACACACACCTTTCCTGATTTTAAACCATGCAGTATCACCTTGCTTTCTTCAGATGACTGCCTCTTGGTCTACATACAGGTTCCTCATGAGCACAATTAAAGTGTTCTGTAATTCCTGCTCTTTGCAGTGTTACCCATAATTTGTTAAGATCCATACAGTTGAATGCCTCTGCATAGTCAATGAAACCTCAGGTAAACATCTTTCCGGTATTCTTTACTTTCAGCCAAGATCCATCTGACATCAGCAATGATATCACTCGTTCCATGTCCTCTTCTGAATCCAATTTGAATTTCTGGCAGTATTCTGTTGATGTAATACTGAAATATTTTTCTGTTATTTTCGCTCTATACAATCAGCAAACAGAGTATTGTCACACACCCTGCTGTAAAACCACAGGACAAAGACCTTTATGATGATCTACTTCCACTAATAAATAGTAAATAACCATCATGCTGTACAGTTAATAATCTTATCTTTTGCACCTGTTATGAATGTCTTCATGTGAAAATCTATTAACTATGTCAAGAACTGTGTTAATGAACTTGTTATGTTGTCAGTAAGGCTTCTAGTCAACAAAAGGCTATTAATAACTAAGTTTCTGGGGACTCAAAATTAATATGTGGATTTTCGACTGCACAGGATAAAGCACCCCCCAACCTCCATGTTGTTCAAGGGTCAACTATATGCAATAAAGTACACAGGGGGCACAAACATGCATACTTCTTAGACTTAACCAAACACCTCATAGGATTGGTTTACAGGATCTGAAGGCTTAGAATCCTAGTCTTGTGGAACAACAGTATATTGGAATAATGTTGTTATTTGCCATCGAGTCGGGCCCGACTCACAGCGACCCCTCCTTGGGTTTCCAAGGCGGTATCACTAAGGAAGTAGATTGTCCAACCTTCCTTTTGAAGAGTAGCTGCTGAGTTTGAACTGCCAGCTTTCTGGTTAGCAGTCAAGTGCCTTAGGCACTATGCTACCAGAGCTCCTTGAATGGAGAATAGCTAAAGCAAATGGAAGAAATTACATGATGAAAGAGCTTAACAGAAGGTTTCTAAGAACAGCTCGAGAAGACAAAGCCAATTATTTGAATGAAATATGCAATGATCTGGAGTTAGAAAACCAAAAGAAAAGAACACACTTGGCATTTCTCAAGGTTAAGGAACTGAAGAAAATATTTAAGCCTTGAGTTGTAATACTCAAAGATTCTATAGGCAAAATATCGAATGATGCAGGAAATATGAAAAGAAGATGGTAGGAAATACACAGAGTTAGTGTACCAAAAAGAACTCGTCAATGTTCTTCCATTTCAGGAGGTGGCATATGCTCAAGAACCAATGGTACTGAAAGAAGAAGTTGAAGCTACACTGAAGGAACTAGCGAAGAACAGGGCTCCAGGAACTGACGGAATACCCACTGAGATGTTTCAACAAACAGATGCCATGCTGGAGGCACTCACTCAGCTATGCCAAGAGATTTGGAAGACAGCTACATGGCCAACTGACTGGAAGAGATCCATATTTGTACCCATTCCAAAGAATGGGGATCCCGAACAATGTGGAAATTATCAAACAAGTATCATTAATAGCACATGCAAGTAAAATCTTACTGAAGATAATTAAAATACGGTTACAGCAGTTGAGGTAACTTCCAGAGAACTGGAACAGTTACAGCAGTGAGAGAACTTCCAGAAATGCAAGCTGGATTTAGAAGAGGATGTATGTTCTGGTTACCTAGTGCCACTCTGACAAGAAATATACCACAAATGGGATGGCCTTAACAAACAGTTTATTCTTACAATTTGGAGGCTTTAAGTCCAAGTTCAAAGTGCCAGGCTCTAGGGGCTGGGGGAAAGCCCCTCAACCTTGGGGTCCAGCCCACTGGAGCTAGAGGTGTTTCTTCACTCAGACAGCTGCTGGCTGCTGAGGCTGAGAAGCGCCAAGGTTGACAAGTAAAAAGGCAAGTCCCAATGTTACCAAACCACACGGCAGGCCATTACTTAAGTCCATTGTAAGTCCCAAGGTTGGCAGAGCACAGCAGGCTGCTGAGCAGCGACAATGGCTACATGCAGGGTCCAAGCATGCCACAGGCTAAAGACCATTCCCAAGGCTTCTCCTTATATACAGGAAGCAGACCATATCCCAAAAGCTGCTTGTGGTAGATCCCACCATGGAGCTAACTGCCAATTTCATCATGTGGAATAACTACCACCAGCTGCCCAGCCACTAAACCAGGCCTAGCCAAGTTGTCACACAAACATAAGTACCACAATGTGAAACGAGGGATATCATTGCTGATGTCAGATGTATCCTGGTTGAAAGCAGAGAATACCAGGAAGATGTTTACTTTTGTTTATTGACAATGCAAAAGCATTCGATTGTGTGGATCATAACTAATTATGGATAACATCAAAAAGAATGGGAATTCCAGAACACTTAATTGTACTCATGTAGAACTTCTACATAGACCAGGAGGTTATCATTTGAACAGAACAAGGGGACACTGCATGGTTTAAAATCAGGAAGGAAGTGCGTTAGAGTTGTATCCTTTCACCATACTTATTCAATTCGTAATACAAGAAGCTGGATTATATGAAGAAGAACATCAGGATCAGAGGAAGACTCATTATCAACCTAAGATACACAGACGAGACAACTCTGCTTGCTGAAAGTGAGGATGACTTCAAGCACTTACTGACAAAGATTGAAGACTTCAGTCTGCAGTATGGATTACACCTCAATATAAAGAAAACAAAAATCCTCACAACTGGACTGACCAATAAACAGCATCACAATAAATGGAGAAGACTGAAGTTGTCAAAGACTTCATATTACTTGGTTCCACAATCAACACCAATGGAAGCAGCAGTCAAGATATTAGATAATGTGTTGCACTGGGCAAATATGCTGCAAAAGACCTCTTTCAAGTGCTGCAGAGTGAAGATGTTTCTTTGAAGACTAAGGTGACCAACCTAAGCCATGGTATTTTCAATAGCTTCATATGCATGTGAGAGCTAGACAATGAATAAGGAAGACCAAAGAAGAGATGTTGTTTTTGAGTTGTGGTGTTGGTGAAGAATACTGAGAGTACCATGGACTGCTAAAAGAACTAACAAATCTGTCCTGGAAGAAGTGCAGCCAAAGTGCCCCTTTTAAGCAAGGATGGCCAAACTTTGTCCGACCTACTTTGTCATGTTGTCAGAAGGGACCATTCCCTGGAGAAGGATATCATGTTTGGTAAAGTGGAGGGTCAATGAAAAAGGGGAAAACCCTCAACAAGATGGAATGACACAGTGGCTGCAATGATGGGCTCAG